AGCTTATAAAAAGTAAGTCGCCTATACTTTAAATATCTTTCTACTTGACTGTAATCTCATTGATTTATTTTTCAGCATTATTAAGACCAAAGTCCAATTATAGAAGCGGAAATGAGAAAGAATTTTTTTTTAAAATTATGCCCAAATGAGAATCTATTAGTTATTATGTTGTGATGGCTTAGAAATTTATTTTGAGTTTTAAACTGATGAATAAACTATCGTCTATCCACATTAAATTAAACCAATGGGTACCAGTACACTTAAAAATATGTCTACGCACATGCCAGACACATTCTATTTAGTCTTCTCTCAATGCCAAGTCATGCTCTGTGATGTCAACACACTCCTGGCCCGCCAGTAACGCATTAACTACATAAATACGGTCTGCGTAATTAGAAATCCGTCTGTTTTTTTTTTGTTTTTTATTGATGGGCATAACTCATAACGTAAGAACAGAGATTTTCTAGATTAAAAAAAACAAGCGTATAACTTAGTCCAGTTAAATTCTGTTCGACAGAGAGAGAAAGATTACCAGACGTCTGCAAAAGGAATACATATCCTCCTTTTGGGATGGTGCCCTCCATCCGGAGTTAGTGTGAAAATGTCCTTCTTTTACTTAATACACTTTATCCACCAATCAAATTTCAACCCTTCAATATCTTATCTTCTGGTTCAACTACACAAACTCACCCATAAGTAGCAAGAAATAGATAGCTTCTTCCCGACCAGGTGTTGGTAAATTCAGTGATGTTGAAAATAAACTTCAAATCGTCATCAGACCCCAACCCCCGCCCTCCGAAAAAAAAATCCTGGCTACGCCCATGAGAGACAGACAAAGCGATCATATTGGTATGGGCATACGAGTGCATCTTCCTATGAGACAATATTACATTTCGGTTCATGTAAAAATGTCTGGCATATTGTCAATATTGCAGGCTTGCAGCTAGGCTACCCGTGGTTGCTGCAGACTCAAAGTTTTAAGACCAAGATTCTAGACCTATGGTCTATTTAAATCGGGAAATCAAAAGCTTGGCTGATTTGTCTAGCTAAAATAGCGAATGACTTGTAGGTCTAAGTTTATTTGAAGTCTTTTCTTCACAACATATATAATATATTACCCTGCTGGAGGGCAGAGATTTTGTGTATTTTGATATGTCATTGATTTAAGTTTGGAGATACTATGGAGTAGACTAATTATTAAGTAATAAACCATAGATTTACAGATTTTTTTTTGGTAGCCAAGTTCTTATAGTTACAATATTGGTGATAGACAGATTTATTTAGGTTCTCCCGCGCCGTTCGGCGCATTATGCTGCAAGCTGTCTCCACAAAGATCTGTCACCGGCAATATCTAGAAGCCTCTTCCCACCTGGTGTCCACTGCTCTGGGGTCCTCCATGAAAGTGTGGCGCCAAGTTATACGAGGACATTCCTGTTTGCGCTTCAGTCATATTGGTATTCATCAGTGGCGTCACAAAAATTTGGCACTACAGAATCGGATCAGTGGTATCACTAGTGGGTGCTGTCTACACTGGCTGACACGCGTCATTGGCTAAATATCGGAACCTGCTATTCACATTTAATAAATAGATTTATAGGTCTATACATTTATTTTAAAATTTCGGTAAAACATATTTTAAATGAAATTATATCAAAATGTCCAAAACATTATATTACAGGTCTACTATATAACAAGCAAAATGTTAAACTTTACTTTCTGCTGCATACCAGCTGCTTTGATTTTTAAAAAAATGTTTTTATTTTACCAAAACTATTTTTATCGAATCTATTGAAACAGTAGCTAGTATCTTAAAATCGAAATGCCAACCAATAGTCACTGTTTATCAAATGACGACATTCTTCAAACATAAAATATTACACAAATCTCACATGCAGTTTTAATGTAAATTCCGCAGAATCGGAAAATGGGTTTGTGGCAAATGAGATTTCTAAAGATGATGATGTCATTTTAGATGTTGACTGTAAAAGAAGCTTTATCCAAAATTTAGGAAATTTCACACTCATTAGAATAATAGGCTATAGGCTTCAATATTTCAGAGGATTTTCCTCCTTGGCCTGTGTCAATTTCACATGATTTACGCAGGAAATTATCAAGAGCAATACGAAAAGTTAGCTGGTTGTAAAAAGAATTAATGGTCATGGTTCTATACGATTACGATGCATCCTAATGGGTATGATATATTTAAATGTGTGTGTGCGGGCATGTGCGTGTGCGCTCTTGCGTGCTACCTAGGTAGGGGAGGTAACATTGTTATCTTCTGTTAAAGTGCGGGATATTCAATGCAACAAATGTATTCAAAGTACAATACCGACAATTCTTGTTTTTATTTCTCAACAGATGAATACCACAGAATTCGCAGAGGTCACTGTATCAGTCGGTGTTAATTCACCTTTGCCACTAGAGTTAAAAGTTGTCATTGCTGTTTTGGCTGGATTATCGTTGGTTTTACTTTGCCTGCTGTACTATTGTATTAGATCTTCCCAAAGCAAAAACCAGAAATCAGTAAATATGCCAGACAGAGAGAGAACAAACATGTTCATCTGTAGTAAGTTTAAAAAGTGGTATACTTGGAACAATAGTGACTGCTGTAATATGTAGACCTACAATGTGTGTCTGCTGCATTGTTGATAAGCACAATATAGCATGCGTCTTTCTGTGCGCGCATATAATTATAATTTTGAGTTTGTATTAATCACCAGACGAACTAGACATACCCAAGATTTAAGTAACTACGAACAGACTAATTCAACTTCAGACGCTTCAATATGATAACTGAATTTACAACGGGAACGGTCTAGTCTCAGTCTCTAACGTTATAGATTTTACCTCTATGAAAGAGTAGCATAAATTGTTTCTCATCTGTATTTTAAACTAAAGGATCGCTTTGAGTGCGTCTCTACACTGGTTTCCTAAAAAGAAAATTGGGGGAGGCCAATGATGGCATATATATACCCCTATTTTATATATATTTGCACCCCAAAGTTCGCGCCCCCCCCCCCCCAACCTAAACATATTAATTTTGTAGTAGATTAGAACGAGATCTAGATTCTCCGTTAGAGAATTAGATGTAGAGCATCGTTTAATTAGCCGATTAGGGCGGGGGTGGGGGTTGCATCGAGAACGACAAGACAATAGAACACATTCTTTACGAATGCCACATTCTGCATGAAGGACGATTGGGACAAGGATTTTAAAGAGAGAGAACTGGTTCGTGTGCGGCATTAGGGCTGTCCTTTTACGGGTCCAAGGCGACCTTAAAACTCGCTGCTCGCTTCTTTTCACGTGCTCTAAGGGAGTAATTCCCAGCATAGTACGTTACTAATGGGGTTTCTGATTCGGGAGTTGAAAGAAGAGGTAGAACTTACTTACGCAGAATACTTAACTTCTATTTGCCAAGAAACTACAAAAGAATGGGCCCCTTATTTGTTTGAAAGAGATGATTTGCCGTAGCATGCCTTGTCTCTTTGTTTGGCTTATTGTGGTTCAACTGACCTTACTGGTATTTAAAACAAACAACTGAAACATATAAAAACCTTAAAATCTTTTAATGATTTTTTTTTATTGAGTAAAATGTTATCCTTGCACCCTAATAGTGCCGCCACTGTCGACGGAGGTCCTCCCCCCCCCCCCCCCCCCCCACAACCAAGTTTCTACACTTCCCATAGTTACAGAGCTTATATATAACCTTTTTCACGGTATCAACTAAATTGCAGTCGTTTCTGCATTAGTTTTCTGCCCTTGGTCTCCTGTCATTTGGTACGTACAACACTTTCATCACTTTATACCATGGGGTGGGGAGTGCGGAAGACTAGGACGTAAAATTTACGTTGTATATTGATCTCTAATTAGAGCAAAGATTACATTTGTGAATGACAGGCCTCCTACTATGGAAACAATGAGTCGTTGACCGTAGATATCATAAAAGATCAGTCGATTAATTAGAATGATTTCACTAGTTCTCTCAAAATGTCGAAGCTCTCGGATATAAGAAAAGAAACAAACATAATAGTTCTTTTTCTATCTAAATGATACACTTTTTTTTTTTTCAGATTTCCCCGTCGGATTTTGGTACGATGAATCCAAATCAACTGATAGTTCCAAGACTTTTGGAAAGAACTTCGACTCCAAGGAAATACGTCCGCTAGGAGGAAAATCAATTTACAAAGGAAATAAAATCCATCACTCTTTGATTTAAACAGAGAACTTATTATAATATTATGAAAAAAAAACAGATCTATTTTGAAAAACTAGACTATTTAGGCCTACATGTATTTATTTTTCAAAAGCATAATATAATTTCATTGACATGTTATGTCATTTTCAGTCATCGGTCTGTAGTCGTTAAATTTCATGTACTAGCAATGGATAGATCAGTAGTACACTTACTGTATTATTTTGCCATGACCGTATTTGGCAGTCTGTAGGCCATGGGGCAACGAAGGAGCAGAGGCCCTGTAATTGTTATCCAAATAAAAGAAACTTTTTTCCGGTCAAGTCTTTCAATATTCGATAAAAGTATTTCTATTGTGGGGGCACTTCTCTCATGGGTACCATAAGCCAGTAACGTGCCCTTCGCCATATCCAACCCTTATGATTATTAAGCTATAGGCCTACATCAACACTTGTTTTAAATGATGCCAATACTCTTTTTGTTTGACAAAACTAGGCGCCGTGGTATATAAAGAACAAACACGAACCTAATGATATTTATATTGTGAGAATATAGATCCAGGTTTAAGTCAGTGACATATTGTTCTCCTACCTAAAAAAAAGAAATTATAAGAGATAGGAAGCCGGCTTATAATTTATGTTTGCTTTTTGTCCAGAATCATTCTAGTTTTTTTTATAGCTTAGGCCTATATATATTCAAAGAATCTAGTCATTTGATAGCAATAATTTGCAGTGTCATTCAATATGTATTATATATACCGTCCTTTTATCATCTCTCTCTCTCTCTCTCTCTATATATATATATATATATATATATATATATATATATATATATGTATTTATTTTTCGGAAATGTGTGTGTTTAAAATGTATTGTTCAAGTCACTATTCTGAACAAGACTTGAGATCTCTGAATTTGGTGAAGTAGAAAAATAAGAACATAGTGTAGTACTGGCCTACTATCTGCCATGACCTGTAGGGAGCTTACTGTGACCAGAAGTAATTGAATATTGAAGCTTCTTCGGCACAGTTGTCTATCCTTGTTAATGTGCTATTAAATGCCAGTTCATGTTAACAGTCGTTATATGGAGATCCTCAACTCGTTTAGGTGACAAACAAAATTTTACTATGTGTGTGTGTGTGTGTGTGACTGTATGTATGTTTGTGTGTGTGGTAGCAATAGTATAATTCTGGAAAGACTAACCAAAGTTGAAGATTTCACATATGTAATAAATAAATTATTATTATTTTTGAAATCACTGGATTTCTAGAATGAAAATAAAAGGCTGTGCATTTTATCTTTCCTATTGTGGTTCATATATGTTAGGATCGATGTATATATATATATGGCAGTGTAGAAAAACAAAGTAGAGGTATTTATGATATTATGTTAACAAGTTTACAAGCGTTGAAAAAAAAAATACAGAATCAATGTAGGCCTATGTTTGGTCTGTACTAGGCTCGCACAAGGAGAAAAGAAGCTTTTATTCGCTATAAAATTGAAATTGTGCATTATCTTATCTTATTTAATACAGACGTTACTTCAAAAAAGAAGATGATTATAGCTAAGTCCATACTATACTAAGTCTTGACCACAGACATATTTATGGTCTTGACCAGGGCCGCCGCGAGGGTTGTGGCCGCCTGCGTGCGAAATTTTAAAATGCCGCCCCCCCCTCCTTTTTTTTTCTAGAAAAAAAATTCATTATCACTTAGCTGGACACTGTTCCAAAAGTGACATTAGATTTAAATCCATTTTTTTGTAGACCATTCCATTTTTCCCTTTTATATTGTACCCCTCAAGTACTATGAACTATGAACCATGCACTAGGAACAATTTAAAAAACTGATCTCGTTCTGACTACTCGCTTATGCTCCTGTATTTGCGACAATGAATTTATAACTGATGAGCTGCGGCAGGTAGGCTATATTACATTGAATAGTGGAAATGATCGTGATCTTTATACAAGTACTCAATAACTTTGGCTACTCAACAGTGTTATATAGGTCTGGACTCTGATTTGTTCACTTGTTTGTCAATGTACGTTGAAGTATATTCCGAAAAAACAACGACTCGAAATACAAAAACCATTGACAGTAAAACTTTTTCAACGTTCCGCACAGTTTCATAAACATTATCACGATTGCATTTTGGAGAGATGTGCATTGTATCCACAATCATCTGACATACACGGATTAAGAGTTGCCTACAAATTTATTTAACAAATAAAGCAACTCAGCGTTAAATATTTTTCTTGAGTTTAATACAAAGTAAATAATCTAAAGTAAAAATCACTTATACAATGACTTGAAATAAAACAGTATTTCTCACAATCCTGGGTGGCGACTCCCTAGATAACAACATTTTCGTTCCAGCCACCTTTAGAAGCTGGAGCCCCGAGGAGCGATGAAGGCTTCCACAATGAGATCAGAAGTAGTTCTAAGAACGTAATCAAAAAGTTAAGAAACGTAGTCATAATTTTTAGGTTTTATTTTTTATTTCTATTCATCCAAAGTGACGTCATGAACGTTCACTAAAACGTTGTTGTTGTTTCGGACATTGTGTTGCCTACGTCATTTGTAAGTGTTGTGCCAAAAGTTATTCCTGGAGGTAGAATTGAAGATGTGGCAGGTTTCCGCTCAAGTCGACAAGTGGTCTGAAGTAGTCTGAACCTTTTTTTGTTTTTTGCTCCCCCCCTCCCTCCTCTGTTGTTGGTCTATTGTTCTCTTGTAGCTCCAAAACAGCTAGTATAACTGAACCGATGAAGGCGTTTTATATTTTTGTGAACAAAGACTCAATATAACTGTTATTATTCACAGATTTAGCTTGAGAGGAGATATAGATCTAATAGTAATGAAATAAACTTTTATTTAAACAGAATCTAGCTCACAATAAAAATAAAGTTTTTACTCTTTCATGTCTTAAGACCGTCTCACATTTGCACTAGGTACGTTAATTTCCTCATTGTCACTGCGTAACCACCTATCAATCCCTTAACTGCCGCTTAGGAAACACACACGTTCCATAACACCCTTTTTGTCAGAACGTTGCGCCCTCCCCCTCCCTATGAGAGGAACTAGTGCCCCCCCCCCCCAGTGAAAATGTTTTTAAAATTAACTTTTTAATTACCGGTATTAGATCTACTTACAGGGCGGGCTATTCATATCCAAACAAATATGACAAACAACCCTCGAAAGGCCAGACATGAGTTGAAGGCGCTCATGGGGAAAAAAAACGTGGGACTTAATCCCTCGCGCGCTACTCTATTTTATTTGTTCTAGTTTCCAAAGTCATTTCTTATGTACTATTATCGATTATATTTTCAAAGGATATTGGAATAATTAAAATTTATTTATAATATTTAAGTAATTTTTTTATTTAATTAAATTTTTTAAAAAGTAACCTTGGAATAATGATTTGGCCGCCCCCCTAAAGTCAGCCGCCTGCGTGCAATGCTCACATTGCACAATAGGTAGCGGCGGCCCTGGTTTTGACACTATAGCTTTGAACCATATTTGAACGCATATAGACAGCATATACATGCATACAAGTATAGACATAAATAAATATAGACTGGCCGAAGGAAGTAACTTCATGTAACGTGAAAACATGTATATCTATTGTATTCGGATTTCCGAATTATGAAAAATTGCACGATCTTCATTCTTAGAGATTAAACAAAACTACACTGCCTATTTATTTACAATATATATAGGTGTGTGGTGAAATAGATATGAATACTTAACTTTTATACTGCACATAAATGCTGTATAATAAAGTACACAAAATTGCAAGTCACAAATTTTCGTTTCATAAAACTCTTTAATCGGCCAATCTATATTTATTTATGTCTATGCATACAAGTCAATGATTTAGCCAGATTTCTACGAAGACAATTTAAATTAAGTTCTCCAATTTTTCTCAAAAAAAAAAAAAAAAAAAAAGTTACATGGCAGATTCAAACTTTGCATCATATAAATCTACATTTTCTGAGACTACGGATCACTTTAAAAAAAAAAATAAGTTGGCAACGTAAAGGATCAGTACATGTATTTCGGCCATTATTGTAACCGCTGACTGTATCGACTGTATGCATAGGTTTGTAACACTTTGTTGTTTCACCTAATGCCGCTTACATTTCATTCTACAGTGCTACTCTCAACATACTTCTAAAATATTTCCTTCTCAGTCACCATGCCCCCCCCCCCCTCTCTATCACACACACACATGACACAGGAGTTGACAGCAAGACTATTGAACCAGGTAGTAGTAGGAAGTGGATCCTGAATAATTAAGAATAATTTACGTCATGGCTTAATATAGGCCTATTTCAGTGGGAATGATAGTCGCAATTTAAATGAATACTGCATTAAGCAGCTTAATAAAAGCCTTCTAACTATAATACCAATCTAAATCTAGTTGAAAAAAATTAATGCACCTGAATTTTTATATATTTTTTTGTTTTGTTACATAAAATATGTCTCAAGACTATATTTTATGTTTATGCTCGAGACTCAAGAAATCCAAAAGTTTGTAGTTGGTGGGGGAATGAGAGCTTTCAATCGGAGAATGGCAAAAATAAAAATTATGTGATGTTATTGTAATGCTGGCTGTCCCACTGAATACACAAGGGCCAAATAGTGTGTTATTGGGGGGCAGGGTGTGTTTGTGTGTGTGTGAAGGGGTGCGTTTTAATGCATGCAGATAAGAAGGTTACAACTGAAGGGCCTACGAAGTGTTTGTGCGTACTCTATATATTAGGGCTTTCAAACGTAGCACACACGGGTATCTGCGTATGACGCAATTAACTTCTCTTTTGAAGAAACGTCTGTAGTCTATAAAATAATACATACTAATCTATATATTTTGTTATAATTGTGGTTGCTTCGCGGATAGGGCTTATCAAATCGTAATCATTTGATACATATAATTTTAACACAGACCAGCGCTAGGCGAGCGGTCAACCATGAAGAGTGGCGACGAAGAGACGCTTCAGGAAAGATCTGTGTTGTGAACTCTACTCAGACCATTCACGTCGGGTATCGTCATATGATCATCCAGAAGGAACGAGCGAGATTGTATCGGTTTCGAGAAGGCCATCGGGGAGGCTATATAAATAGAGAAGATGTAAGACTGCAGTGTCTTCACGACGTTACACGTTTCAAGATCCAGTCCGGAGCAACTGAAAATTGTACGAGCCCAGGACGAGACCGAGTGGCCAGTAGAGTTTGACACAGAGCTTTAGAGTACGGTTATCTACGGTCAAGCATTTGTACAGTCAGTGTTACGTGTTGCCAATAGTACAGTATTGGCTGTAATTTATTAGACATTATAGGAAAATGTTATTTTGGATGCCTGAGTTAAGTTCTTTTGGTTGATTGTGTCGTGTGATGCAGTGTTTGCAGAGAGCATTGATAGAGAGTCGTTACAATATATATAGTTTCAAAGGTTGCGACGTCCAGGAAGTGTCGATAGCGATATGCTTCCATAATCTATGTAAAACTCTCCTAAATGGCAAACGTTTCAAATAGCCTCTGACAACTAACTCCAGGACCTTGCCTGCTCGTGTGACTTAGATTCTTGAGCCCGGCGAAACTCTTACCAACAGGATACCTGGTACCTCACAACCGTGAACTCGTCAGCCCATTATAGTTAATTAAGCAATTTATTTAGGAGAGAGATACTCTGTCAGTCTAACTTCAAACCCCGCCGATTTGACGCTTCAGGAGACAAAACTCCAGCAAAAAAAAAAAAAAGGATTGAGGCCTTTTATGCGTTAATGGGACTATCAACTACGATATTCCCCCCTGCAACGTCTGCAACTGAGTTAAGTGCTAAAGTACTGCGAAGCATCTCCTTGGATCACATCAGCAAATTCCATCCGTTCATTAGTCGACCATGACGAATGGGCCACCCATGGTCGCTTTATCAAAAGCCCAGGAATGCGCCCTGAAGAGAAAACTCTGGTGCTGTTGCAAAGTGGCTAAAAGAGACATCAATACTTGGTGCATCCATTGTCTTTTGAGCCAGGAATCATATATAAAATTAAAAAATGTAAAAACATGTAATATTTTTTTTCAAATAGTCTTCGAAGTAATATCTTACTTAAGAAAGAAAAACTTACGATCTCGTTAAATTGCATCATTTTAGTTTCCTGAATTTGAATGAAGCATATTTATAATATATAGGCCTATACAAGTCAGCAGGGCTGGTCTTAGGCCACTGCAGCCTATATGCGGCCGCAGTGGCCCCCGCACTTTCATAGGCCCCGCGCGAATTCTAGGTGTAATTTATTAA